AGAAATTGCGGATTTTGATCAAAGTATAGACCTTTTCTTTCTAATGTGTACAATGATGATGGCAGGGATATTGTTGCTTTTGGCGTAGTTGTAGAAAGTCAAAAGTGGAGATCTGGAACGCTTCCCGTTTACCCTTAATTTTCTTGTTCATAACTTCCTACTTTTTCATCGTGACCATCAACCAATTCACTAGAAAATCTCAGCTTGAATCACAATACCATTATTTTATGGATTAATAGAAATGAAACCATAATTAGTGGCCGCGGCGGATCCACGACACAGTATAACATTGGGCAGCATTTCTTTAGAAAATTAGATACCGTAAAAAAATCACAGTTTTTTTTTACAATATCAATTATACACGTCGATCTTTTAAATTTTAATATAGTGAATTAATCAGTAATGGAGTTTAAATCCACATCAATAGCGTACTCTCTTTAAGATAAATAGTTAACCAATTGGCGAGAAATTCATCGCTCATTTTGTTGCGCAAATGTCAACACAATCGACTAATCAATATATATTGTGTATCAATTCGTATTTTCAACAGCTGCTCTAATAATTTCTTACGGGAATAAACTTCATATTTATTTTAGTCTTTTACGTTTTAGAATTTTAGTTTTCATTGTTTGCTTTTCTTTATATGAGAACCATTGCAGCTAGAATTTTCAGGCTAAATTTAGAGTTGTGATTTAAATATGTTGATCTTATCCATTTTCCTAATTACACACAATTTTATTATAAAATAACACTGACCCAAATGACTAAAATCGATAAACTCATAAGAACTATACTAGTTCCGATTCCAGAGGAGGGCTGGACCGTGGTCCGGGGTGGCCACCCCCTGGATCCGCCACTGATTAGTGGTGAAACTATTGGTAGATATGGCCATTGTCCCTTGTACTTTTATATCGCGGTTAAAAATACAGCTGAGTTTCTAACAAATTCGAAAAATAGAACAAATTGATATGTTTTGGGTTAATACATTAAAGTAGTCAAAACTTTAGACTAATTTGTCCGAATTTTCAAAACTACCCGTCTTGATTTGAACTTTACACTCTTTCAACTTCTTCTACCCGACTCGTGGTTTAAGTACACACCAAGTTGAATAGTCAACATTATTGACCGTTAGTCAAGAAACCATGCAACCACAAGAAAATAATAAATTTAAAAACTTAAACAAATTATTTTGTATTAACATTTTCCTAATAATTTGAAATAAAAAAAAAATCATAACTATGCTTCCCCCACTCGAATTTCCTTCTTCCCACCCTTTATTTCCAACTGGATGTTCCTCAACCACTTCGAGAAGGGCGTCTCCGTCAAGACCATTGCCAACCTCTCCAATGTCATTTGCCTCAAACTACAAGAATGACTTCGCCGAATCCATCCTCGTCGTCCATCTCTCACTCATTCAATCTATGCAATAATAGCTATTAGGAAAAATAATTCAATTTTTTTATTATCTTTATTGATGACATCCCATGTTGACCGTTAATCAATATGGGTCAAAACAATTCAAATAGTATAAACTTAGGGACATGAGGAGGATTTTTAAAAAATTCAGTCCAAATTAGCCTATTAATATGAAATTCGGTTCGTTTTAAGGTGTTAACCTATATTTTTTTACCCTATGCTTGGCCACTGAAATTCAAATCACATTAACTTTTTTTTGAATTAACTTCTTTTTTTGTCACCCTCTCTTGAAATTGCTTGCGCAGTCTCACCTCATAATTTTCGATACAAATTGATTTTTTTTCAATTAGTTGGATGTCCGGTCGGCCTCTTTCTCTCATTGTTGCTGAAGCCTCCAAGAAACTGGAGTACATAACAGAGGAGGAAACAATAGATGGTTATGAGAGCACGGAATTAAAGTGAAAAACCATAACTGTATTATTGTAACTTTAACGATGTTGTGTTCTAGTTAGTGAAATATCCTACCTCTATTATTACTAGCTTATAACTCGACTCTTTGGCCGGAATACTCATATTTGATTATTTTTATTTTTATGTTACTTTTAAGTCTATTAACCCGTTTAATCTTATTGATAATCATTCGATCGAGATGATACATAAAGAAATAATATATAGGTCGAACATTCGGAGAAATATCATGATCATTTAAGAATATAAAAATGTATCATTGACCCCATTTTCATAATGCTAATTAAGTCACTGTTAAAATGCTATTGGTTAGTTTTTTTTTACAGTCAAGAAATATAGAGTATAAAAGCTCACTGAAATTCTCACACACCTCATAGATAGTTTGAAACTAAATCTTAAACCTCACAATCCTATATAAAGGGTTCAATGCTCTCCTTTTAGAAACAATATGTCACTAATCAAAAAGAAATGGATAGTTGTTGATTCAAGTCATCTATATACTAAAAACTCATTTAAGAGGGGACCATCACAACTTGAGAGCAAACGAAAAAATCAGGGTTATCTCCAATATGCGAATAGACTCGATCAAAGTAATAAGGCGCAAAATTAGACACTCCTTATCTATTAGTTCCAGTAGGTTGAATAAAGAAGCGACCTATTTCAAACAATCAATCAATGATTCCTCGTTTTTAGATAGAAATAGGTTGTGACAGTTGCAAAAACCATAAACCTAAAGATCCAATAGCCACCATTCTCCGTTGTACAACCAAATTTCTATCTCAAGAGGCATATATTCAACCAAAAATTCAATTTCTAATCCTCCTTCTACAACTTCAATTATTGATGAACTCCATTCTATTCGCCATGAATTGATATCGGAGTTGAAATCTTCTACTCGCCCAACTTAAAATCCCCAACAATAAAACCGTAGTGCCAAGAGATACCTGAAGATTGATTTTCAATGACAGTCTTGTACTGGGAAGTGAAAGGTGCAAACTATTACACGATGGATGAAATTTTGGAGGAAGTTAGAAAGAGAAAAGAACAAAGATAAAAAAACAAAAAAACAAAAAATTTAAATTTAAATTGAAAAATGCAAGGATACAACACGTGGTTACATAATTAGTTTCTTCCATGTTAGCCAATTACCCATTTACCTTTATAAAAAATTAAGGAGAGAGCGGGAATTTAAAATTGGGAAAATTACATGAAACTCTACTATGAAAATAGAAGTATCAAGCTCGATAAAAATACATACGGTAGACTTAGTGAGCTTGCTAATTATGATGAAAAAGTCCTCTGATTTTCAGAGATTAACTTTGTCTATTTTTTGTATAAAAAAGGATGCAATAAATTTGTTTAGTGTAACTGGTTATTATTGTTATCTTTGTTTGAAGAGACCCGAGTTCAAATCTTGATATTGTTATTTTTATATGAAATAAATAATAAATGTGTAAAGACAAAAATGACCTTCCTCCTTTCACTCTCGTTGCATGAAATTTGAAATGGAGAAAAGTACACAAAACTCTACCATATATTAATGGAGGATTATTTATAGGGAAAATCTCCTATTGATTATGTACTATATGATAGTTGTTTTCAACCACTCGGATATTTACAGTTTCTCATAATTCATAAATAACAACTTTGACAGTTCAAGCTTCAAACTAGGATGGCAATTTTGACCTGACCCGTTTTACCTGACTTGTTTAGTATGTTTTGGGGCGGATCCGACCTGCTCTGACCCGCCCCATTTGCTACCCGTTCTTGCCTAAATTACATGTAATCTTAGTCAAATTACTTAGAATTTTACTCTTATTACCTCATATTTTAGCTATAATAAAGTTGTAAATAAGTAAAAACCTCAATTTCTCCAATATTTTAACTATATTTTATCATATTGTGGTTTCTTTCTTGGTCATTTAATGAAATAAGGAATATGTGTAATGTTTTTCACATAAATTACATACCCATTGGGTCGACCTACCCCGACCCTGCCCCATGATAAATTACCCGATCTGAACTCGGCCTACCACTAAACGATATGAGTATCGAAATACCCGCCCCGGACCTGCTCATTGCCATTCATACTTCAAACACTAATCACCCTGTGGGTATTGAGCAAGTACAGATTGAAACGCACTCTTTAGAAAAAAGTAGATGAAGAAAAGTAACACTCATGTATTAAAAAAAGGGAGTTAGATGAATAATAAGAGAAAGAAAGGGACAACGAATGGGAGATCCAAGGCTTTTTTCTGAAATGGTGTGGGGACATAGAAAATGTTTGGTGATCCACAAATAAGGGCATTTTCCTCCGTGGATGGGAGGATGGGGGAGCAATTATATTAAGATGATTTCTCAAATGCCTTCATTTATACCGAGTAATGGACTATGCTTAGGGATGGCAACAAAACCCGAATCCACGGGTACCCACCCGACCCAACTCCGTCAACGCGGGTAAAATTCGTGTTGACGGGTTTTGGGCCGGGTTGGGTTTAAACCCGTTCACTATTCATCGGGTTGGGTTTGGGTTTAGGTAAACCCGACCCGTGGGTACCCGCCCACACCTATATAATTAATTTTCTCGGTATATTTGATATTCTAAGCAACTAATCTTATTTATGTTTGTGGAGACATGTCTAATTTTTTCTTTCTAATTGTGTAGAATTAAGTTGATGTTATCGAGTAGAGAGTGAAAAAACTTAATTGAAAGGAAGAAGTTTTCAATTAATCATATTATTTATGGATAATTTGTGATTTGCTTCAATTTTCTTGAGTTTTCTAAATTGGTGTTGAAAATTTTGTATAGTTAATTTGTGATTTTCTTGAATTTTCTAGAATGGTGTTTTATATATGGATAATTTGTATTGAGAGATTGATATTTGACTTTAATTTTGATAGAAACTTGTTATTGTAAATTTTTACGACAAAAACCCGTGGGTACCCATGAACCCGCGGATACCCAGCGGGTTGGGTTGGGTTTGAGTTTTTCAAACCCAATGGGTTTTACCCCGGGTTTTTTTCAAGGAGAAACCCATGAGTTTGGGTTTGGGTTTGGCAAAACCCGACCCAACCCGACCCATTGCCATCCCTAACTATGCTCATTTTGTTGGTGCACTTTACAGTTTAATTTCTTGGTGGAAATTTTTAGCTGTTGCTTTTGATTGTGCTTTTGATTTTTAGAAATCATGATGATTGTTACTCGGTTTATATTTCTTCCGACAATGTTCAAACGAGAGTATTTGACAATCTATACTAAATTACAATACTCTTGGTGGAAATTTTTAGCTGTTGCTTTTGATTGTGCTTTTGATTTTTAGAAATCATGATGATTGTTACTCGGTTTATATTTCTTCCGACAATGTTCAAACGAGAGTATTTGACAATCTATACTAAATTACAATACTCTTATGGAAATTTCTTTAGATATCAACGAGCACTATGAAGAATTCTTCTTAAAAAGAGAGCTCCACAACCAGAAGTAACAGAGAAAAGATAAAAAGTGAGATATGTGTGTTTCTGTGAGATTAGTGTTGTCCCTCCTCTCTGTCTTCGCTCTAGATTCTTAATGAAAAAGCATCCCGATAGTCATCGCGAAACTGCACCATTTTTGTCTCCCATGTTTCTCTACTCCCTTTTAGGAAGTTGAAGCGCTCAACCTTTCTGCATTTCCCGCTCCCAACCAAACAACCTTTGCGTGAAACACATGCAAATGAATTGTGGCCCATTTAGGAGCCTAAGATCAGTAGAGAGGTTCGACCAACAAGGTTGTTGCTTCATGGCTGCAATGTCATCATGGATATGAGATGCAACGGTTGGTCTTTATAGAATCACTTGTTGTTTGAGAGTTGAGACTATGATGTTGCAAGACTTATATTGATGTTGTTGATTAAACAACCCCGTTGGTTTGACTACACCATTGTTGAACTCGCGGTGTTACTAAGCTAGTGACATCATGGAATTCATGACGCTCCTGACCGTCGAGATGTTGTTAAACAACACAGTGTTGTTGCTGGTGGACCAAAACAACTAAAAATTCAAAACATCTCTACCCTAATCCATTTGTTGTGCTTGGTTGAATTTACTTATTTAAAGCCAATTAAATGTTCAATATACACAATGCATTATTTAAAGCAAAACCATTTTGATGCCCAAACAATTAGAGATGTTAACTTAGACAAGTATACTTGTGCATATATAAGCACCCCCAAGTCCCAATGATTTGAGGGTATACAATTGAACGTAGGAACAAAATAGGCGGGGAGTTCAAGAATGCACTTATGACATTTAAGGGTACACTCATAAATTAATGACATGATTAATGTATAGGGTTATGCACATCAATCATGTGCTTTTGAGATTTCATGCCAAACTTCTTCATTTATACTGAGAGTTTGCTATGCAATTTTTATTGGTATACTTATTGGTTACAATTTTTCAGTGGAAACTTTCACCGTGTTGCTTTTGATTGTGTTCTGACTTCTGGAAATTAATTTGATTGTTACTAAGTTCATACCTTTGTCAGCAATATTTTTCGAAAGAGTGTGTTTGATGTTTGAAGAAATCTATACTAAATTACTTATACTCCTATGAAAATTCCTTGAGATCTAAACAAATACTATAACGACTATACCTATGACGGAGAGCTCTGTAACTAGAAGTACAGGGAAAATATAAAAAGTGAGGCATATGTGTTTCTGTGTGATTAGTTGTCCCTCATCTCCCAGTAGTCATCCTGAAAGTTTCTCCACTCTCTTTTAGGAAGTTGGAGTCCTTAGTCCTTTCTACATCTCATGCTCCCAAATTTCATTCGCGTGAAACTCACACAAATCATTTGTGACAATTCTAGGAGCCTGGGATCGGTACAGGGGTTCGAACAACGATGTTGTTGCTTCATGGCTGCAATGTGTTGGTAGATTTGAGCTGCAAAGTTAGTCTTAATAACATCACATCGTTGCTTGACACTACGATGTTGCAAGACTCGCAGTGATGTTGTTGATTAACGTTCGTTTGCTGGAGGAAGAGGGTGGAGCGGAGGAAGGGTCGACAGAGGCGAGGGATCTCAGTTCGTTTTCTAGGAAAAAGGCATAACGGAAGGCTAGGAGGAGGGGAGGTAGAGCATGTTCATTTTTCGGGGGGAGAGCGCTCCTTGCTAGAGGGGAAGGGGGAAAGGCATCATGAGGCATGAGCTAAAAGAAAGAATATGTGATTGTTTGGTTTGTGATTGAGTTCCAAATTAAAAAAAGGATAATAAAGTAATTTATATACTAATTATATGACGATTTTATTGATTTTCAGACGACCTTTAACGATCGCTCTTAGCATTATCACTCCTGCTCAATCCGAACTAATTATTTCAAATGATTATTTCCTATTTAGATAGATCTAACCGTTTTCTTGGTATAGCTAAGATTGAGAAAAAATCGAAATAAAACTAAAATCAAAATCAAAATCTCCATATGATCTTTGAAATTGCCGTTGAATCCATACAGTTTGTAAATACAATTTCCACTATACGTACATCATACCATATTTGGCTTTGTTCCCAGCGGAGTATTTGTATTTCCCCCTTTTTGGTATAACTATTCAAAGCGTTTTTTTTTTAATAAATTATCATTTGACCATATTTTTAAGATTAAAAAACTCTTCCCATATATTATTAATTTTTTCATTCTTAAAATTTCTTTATATATAATATTCCAATTTTCCTCTTTCTTTTTCTAAAACAATTTCCGGGGACGTCAGCGTCACCAAGATCAAAACCAGAAGGTAGCAGCAGCAGGGGAGGAAGAAGAAAGAGGAAAAAGCAGGGGGTTGGGGGGAGAACCAGATCCTCCGTTTAAACGGCCGGTACAACCGCTCTCTCCCTACGCCAACTCCACCTCCACCAACCTCTCTCCCTCTCTCTCTCTCTTCTTAACTTCGCTTTCACTTCCCTTCTTCGTCTTCTTCATCTGCGATCCTCTGCAGCGAGAAAATTTTCCTGCTCACCAAACAGAATTCTCTCTCTATCTCTCTCCCTGCAGAACGCCGCTGTTTGTTCGAGATAAGGAGGAAACGCTAAATTCACGCGGCCCGTTCTCCTCTCTCTCTCTTCCTCACTGGTGCTATAAATTCAATTTCCCTGATTCTTCGCCGTCAGGGAAGGATCCCGTAATCCGGTAAGCTTCTTCTCTTACTGCTTTTTTTCTCTCTCTCTCTCTCTCCCTCTTGCCATCTCTATTTCCCTGTACATTCCGTTTTCCCGTTCCCGATTCTGGCCGCTCGTCGTTTTCCGCCGTATGAAAGCTTCGGCGCGGCGGTTCTGAGGTTTCGCACCTTCTCTCTTTCTCTCTTTCGTTTGCTTAATGGTGCTTTGGATTTTGGAATCGTCGGGATTCCCTTTTCCTAACTTAACGCTGACTGTGAGAAAGCTGAACGCCGTCGTTTTCTGGAGCTGGAGCATTTTTTTTTTTTTTTTTCCTTCGAGTCATTTGGTGCCGGCCGGCGGTGGTTTCGTCGGCGGAGTAGTCGAGTGTGTTATTTTTGTCGGTCGTTCTCCGCTCCCTGGCTGTATTGAATTGAAATTCCCTTAACCGGTCCGTTTCCTCTCTGATTATTTTAGACGGCGATGAGTTTGAGAGATATTCTCTAGAAGTTATTTGTTGATGGCTGGATTTTCTCTGTTGCCGCAGAAATAGATTTCTCCTTTGACTGAGAAGATTTTGAGGATAATTTGCTTCTTCATCAGATTGCGATTTCGCAACTCGGTTTCGAGCTGTTTGGTTAGTGTATTTCGGCCGACTGTGGAGCTCAGTTGAATTGAGTTGGAGCTCGGAAATACTCGCCGAGTCGTGCCATTTTCCCACTTCAATCCAGAATTAGGTATTCAAATTTCCGATCTGGTTAGAGCCGAAACAGAGGGATTTGCTCAAAGGAAAAAACGATCGCCGACAGATTGAGGAGGAAAGCGAGCTCAATACTGTTCAACTTTACCGTTGAAAAGTTGAAATTGCTCCTTACTTTTTCAATGTGCCTTTTAAGTCAGTCATCACAGTTCATTGTAGTACTTCTGATTTGCTTTCTGTGGATTTTGATTTGCGCGTATATCTGCCTTCGATTTTGCAGAGAGTTGCATGCTGAGAGGACTTTTGTGAAAGAAGGGGGGCTCAATCATGGCTTCTTCGCAGCTCGTGGAAATCCAACCCAAGGAACTGAAATTTACGTGTGAGTCTCATGATTGGGGAGCTGCCCACTATATTGCTCTTTTCCTAATTCATTTCCCGAACTGAATTATTATCATATCTTTTCATCGTGCTATGATTATATCCTGGTGGAACACAATCTGGGTGCACTTTTTCTACTTAAATACTTGCTGCAAAGCTTGAGATGGGATAGAATATAACTAGCTGAAAGTGTGGTTGGCCTTTTTTATCACCTGTCATGATTATCCCACTTTCTGAATGATGAGCGATCTTTCTGGTGGATTCCCAACCTTTTATTGAATCTTAATCAAAAGTTTTGATTCAATCTGGAATTTGATGACCCCTCTGTAGTTGAACTGAAGAAGCAAAGCTCATGTGCAGTCCGGCTTTTGAACAACACATATCACACTGTTGCGTTCAAGGTTCAAAATTCTATTCCTGTTCTTCTGCTCCGAGTTTTAGATTTGGCGGACATGAAATAATCTGAACTCTACTGGCAGGTCAAAACTACTTCGCCTAAGAAGTACTGCGTGCGTCCAAATGTTGGAGTCCTGCTGCCCAAGTCTGTTTGTGAATTCACAGGTTAGCTGTCTCGTAAAACAAGTTAAAAGTCTTGATTATGATGAGCATGGATGTGCAAGCATAACTCTTGTGCTAATCAATGCTTACTCAGTTCTTGGTCCTAAATTCTAGTTTGAGCTCCAGTTTACCTGGATAAAGTCGTTAATCTTACTTAATAGAGGATGAGACGTTTCCTTCATAAGATTAGATACTTCCTTTTTCTTTTAAGGGGTTCCCTTCCCTTAATATATTCTATTGGCTGTTGACCATTATCATTTGGGAGGATTGGAAAGTATAGTTAGTTCTCAACATGTTCATAAACCATTGATAGAGCCAAGGGCATCATTTGATTTAATGAGGCAGTTATTGTTTGATGGTCACCATACCCTGGCAAGCAATATCGTTTCTGCCAACTGTTAAACCCATGACTCTGAGAAGCAAATAATTCGGCCTCTTGGTTGTGTTTTGACCTCCTTCCACATTTCTCCCTGCATGTTTCAGTTACAATGCAAGCTCAGAAGGTTGCCCCACCTGACTTGGTATGCAAAGACAAGTTCTTAATCCAAACGACAGTCGTCCCCATTGGTACATCTGATGAGGACATAACACCTCTCATGGTAAAAGTGATCAATGTTGTATCGCTGATTTTATTTTCTGCCCATACTGTTGTCGCCATAACAAACACTTTATTCTTTTGCTTGATATAATTGCAGTTCTCCAAAGAGAATGGTGCCGATATCGAAGAAACCAAGCTGAAAGTCGTCCTTGTCAGCCAACTCAGCCCGTCTGAATCACCATTGTCTTCACCAGATGACTCCCCCAAACAGATACCCCATTATGTGGCTACAGTGCTGCCCGAGCCAGTCTTTACCAGCATCGACACTTCTACTCAAGTCCACCCTGTTAGTTAAATTCTCTTACTAAGAAATTTCCCTTACATGATTTCTTTTACCTAACTTACCGTTTATATCATCTCTTTCTCACCAGTTAACAGAGGACTTGGAGTTCAGAATGCTAGAACACGAGACCACGTTGAAGCCTAAGAAGCTTGCTGCTGCTCTAGAAGACACTGAAGAGATAAAGCCGGTCAACATAAAAGGCTTAATCCCTGTTATTAAGGAAGAGCTCGATAATGAGGTGCAGTTGGATAAGCCCAAAATTGAAGATGTTAAACGAGAGTATGATAGTAATGCTACTGAGAAATCAAAGCCAGTGATCATTAAGGCTGAAGTTAAAGACGGGTACGAACAACCACCAGCAAATTATGCCGCCCCTGCCCAAAGCCTGCAACAAGAACCAGGAGCAAAGGACGCCAACTCCCTCCGCTCTCCTCCTCCTACGGCCGATGTAAAGTTCGACACAGTGGAGAAAGCTGCAGTCGTGGAGCCACCACAGTTGTTAGTCAATCATGTCGACCCCAAGTTAGTCAACGAAATCGAAGCAATGAAGTCGAAATTGGATTCCTTGGAGCTCAAGTTTACCGAGGTAGAACATGAAGAAAAAAAAAATGTTTGGCTTCTGGGCAATTCCTGTGTTTCCGTGTAATTTTACTAACCGAAAAAAGAAATTTGCAGGCTCAATCGACGATTTCGAAGCTGATCGAGGAGAGGAAGTCCACGAATCGGGAGAGGAAGACTTTACAAGAAGAGCTCGTAAGTTGTGTGTAATTGTGTATAATATTAGCTAGAAAATTACCTCGGAAGTTTGTTTTCACCTGTAGTAACTTTTTTTTTTTTTTTTTTTTTTTTGCACATTTGGCAGGCGATGTTGAAAGCTGGGAAGATCAGTGTGCCAGCAGCTGCAGAAGCCGGGGTTCCCTTTCTTCACGTCGTGATCGTCGCTCTAATCAGTATCCTCTTCGGGTATCTTTTACGCGGTTAAAAAAATGTTCCCCGGACGGTGAAAATTCAGCAGGGCCCTCTCTTAGTAAAGGCTTAAAGTAGTAGAAAGTCCAGCTATCCACCACCCATTACAGGAAGAAAAAAAAGTTGTCGCGAGAGGTGAAAACAAAATATCTAGGGAACACAAATTTTCTCTTCTTTGTTATCTTGGCGTTTTTTCTTCCGTTTTTTTTTTTGGCGGTGTAATGGCATGGTTTAGGATTCTTGATGTAAATTGCAATGTGCAACACAGCACAGATAAACAAAAACTAAAGAACATCTCGCGTTAGGTTAAACATATGATCATGGAAAAATGGCTTGTGCATTGTTCTAGAAGGTATGGTCTGATGGTGACAAAAAGAGAAATGCCTCGTGGTCTTTTGCTAAGGGTGAACAAATTTATTCAAACACAAATAGAAACCAAGGTTTTGTTTGGTATAGTTTTGTTGTTGTTTTGGTTGTGGTAGAGTTGTGAGAACGAAGGTATAACCGCAATAACACGAAAATAGAAAATAAAGAATATAAACCTGTTTAGCTGTAGTTCAATTCGTAGAATACATGATTTTGGTGATAGTTAAATAGATGCATTGTCATCCATACATGTATAATAATATACATGTATATACAAAAATTTGTGTATTGTAGTTTACCTCGTTTGGTTTTTGTGATAGTTATTGTGTTATTTAAATAAGTTATATTACTTTTTGGGTGAAATGTCACTTTTACTCTTTGTTTTTAATTAAAAAAGCAACACACATAAAAAGGTAGGGTCATAGTTGGAAGAAAATAAAGCACAACAATCTCAATCAAACAATCTCAACAATCTCACCAAAAACTTGAGATTCTCCAAATAGAGGTTGAGATTCTCCAAATAGATGCATTTGTTCAATTTGTGTATTATTATTTGATGTATTGATTCAATGCATGTATTAGGAAAATACTTTGTTTGGAGGAGCAATGATGAAACAAAAAGTAGGGTAGACAATCCCTTGTTAACAATCTCACCTTTTGGTAGAGATTTATAATCATTCATTTTGAGTGATTATAGGTGGGCCCAACAAAAAGTCATACATGCATTCTAACTCAAAGTGAACCAAAAAAACGACTTAATCTTAACATTACATGTATTTGCTAAATACCTCACTTCAAATCTCAACCTCCAAACAACCCCTTAACTATCACTCATTTTGAGTGATAGTTTGTGTCAAATCAAGCAAACAATGCATTTAGTGCAGAAAATTCAAAAAATGATGCATTGTAGACAATGCATGAATTGTAACTATCACAACCAAACAATCACCAAAACCAAACGACCCAAAATTGCATTTAGTTACTTCTTTGGACCACATTTAGTATCAATATTAAGATTAATATAAAAGTAGAAAAATGATGCATGAATAATGTGCTATGACGAGTTATGAGAAAATTGGGGGAGAACAAAATATGAAATGGTATAGGCAATAAGGTATTGAGGATGAGTTATGTGACAGAGGAGGGAGAAAAATATGTAGAAAGTGGAGCTGGTGAGATTTTGGTCACACACTCTTGAATGAAATTATTCCAACAAGTGATAGGATCCTACAAGAAATAGGTTTTGCAAATATGAAGGAAGCTAATTAAAAGTGGTTTCACTAATTTCAACTAATTAATGTAGTGTTACAATAACAAATGAAAAAAATAAACAAAAAATATATTGGGAATGATACTAACAAACTCTACCAAAAGAGGAAAACAAGGTCGAAAAATAAGCAAATGCCAAAAAAGAAAAGCAGAAGAATTAGAAAGTGGGTGTAACATCCTGAACCTTTTCCCGACGAAGATATTGTCCGCTTGGGCCTCGACCCTCACGGTTTTCGACTTGAGGTGCAATTCAAGGTGACTTCCCATAAGGTCACCCATCCTTGTTGTACTCCACACTAAGCACGTTTAACTTCGGAGTTCTCACAAGAACTCTTTCATTTCACCCCAAAACGCGTCTTGTCAGTTAAGGTCAGCTTCTTACTTATGAACCACGGATCTCTCCCGTGCTTTGTTGATGTGGGATTTGCCTAAAGTGTTATAGTGGGTTAACCTCCAAACATTCGAAAAAAAAAAGGAAAGAGCTCAAGCTTTGATGTGTTAGCATCGAGCTTTTTACATTAATAAACTTGATCGTCGACAATACTAACTACTCCAATCTAAGAAAAGTGCACCCGAGATCAGCGAAGTAGTATAGTGGTGACTGATGCAGTATTCATAGGGCCCTTTAGAACTATTACTACTCTCGGCCTCGATCTACTATCTAGTCAAACGAGATGGTTGATGGTTTAAGTGTGAACAAAACTAACAAAGAAAAAAACAAAACTAAAAGCGAGGGAGATCACTAGATAAGAGATAATGTCGACTAGACTTCAAACTACCTTCGATGCTTGCTAAGGGTAAATGTTATAAGGAATTGGAAATATCTATGGCGAGTGTGGTGCGAAGGTCTCTAAGGTTGGGATCGATGCAATGGTCATGCCGCCTAATCCCCCTTCTAGCCACGTCCATTAGCCCAACATCACCACAACCAACTTTCGTGACTAGAGATGGGTTCTCCCTCCTCTAAACGGGTTCTAACCATCCACACACAAGTCAGGTAAGTCAATGGTCATGCATTTACTCAATTAGTGCCAATTAGGTGAGATCCTAGCTAGAAGGGAATGGTCACCTCGTCTGCTAGCTAAGACTCTATATTATCTACCCTAGTATGGAAGCCATCAACGCCATTCTCGTGTCTAACCCTAGATGTAACACATGCAAAATACCATATAAAGCATCCAAACCATAGATAGAAGCATTAATGACTCTAATTGAACACAACATGTCATATATTAATACTCTAATCCATGCTAGGGATTGATTCATCACAAGAATACCTAGACTAAGCTCTAACTTAATGGTCATGCAATTAGAGCTCCTATCACCTGGGTAGAAAGATCCAAGTTGAATTCTCGCAACTCCAACTATCTAGGTGATGCATTACAGTATGGATTCCACTAATGGACCGTCTCACTCTTCATGAGATAGTTCCACTATGAAGGGTTATGTGACACCATGAGTTTAATCAAACCACAAAATCCTCATCTATCTAATGGTGGTCAAACCTTGGAGAGTGTGGTATGGTCACCTCGTCAATCTCCAAGACCTAAATACAACCAACTAGAGTTCCAGCTCATGTGATGTGATTACTCTTTAGTGGTGGGTCAAACTCTAGAATTTAGGAGAGAATGACAATCACATAAATGAAACCCTAATTCATACATCAATTAACATAGATAGATAGTTGAAAGATAATCAAACAATCCAATCCATACATCAAATCCATAACAAATATCTAAAGAATTCTACATCTAACCAACACGAGGGTTTAGTTCATAGAGAGAAAGATGGAAATATGTGATCTCTTGCTTCAGCATGTGAACTTTACTCAAGCCTTATTTCTACCTTTTCACCCTTCAAACGACCTATGATTGCCATGAACTTGGCATGGCTCTTCCTTATAGTACTAGGATATTAAATTAAACTAGAAAACCCCACATAGCCTATAAAAGGATGCAAATGAAAAATATTCATGCCAAACGGCTAAGTGACGATAAAAACATGCTAAATCTTAGTGTATTGATGATATGAAGAAAAAATAGCACGAAATCAATCTCAAATGAATGAAGATGATATGACATGCAAACACCTAAGAAATGGAAGGTTAAATAACAAAACTTTAGGTGTTATCAAGCTTGACGAGTTAAAACACGCAAAAGGATAACCAAACGTACATCGGTCTCAACAATCTCTCGATACTTAATGGTGGAGTTTTTTTTTTGTTAATTACCATTGTAATTAAATAGATAGGTAATTTTGTACTCTACCCTGTAAATTTGACAACGTATATAAGAGGCATTTAGCCACCAAGGATACTTGCGGGTTCCTACACAAATATCCTTCTTCAATAAGTTTCTTATGGTATTAGAGCCTAGTTCAATCACTTAGGATTTTCTACCCACCATACTCACATTCTTCGTTCTCCTTCTCCTTACCTCTTATGTGTTTTTCCTTTAACAAAGATGGATATATGTGATGCTACTAGTTCTCTTGTAACCTAAATACTTCAAACGGTAACAAACCATTAGTATTTAAACCCTAATGAGGCCCCGAACTTTCCAATCAAGATCACAAGAACTGAAAACTATAACCTCTGGATTCGAACCGTGCATGTTGCGTTGAAAATCCATAAGTTGGGATTTATCATTGGGTCGATTCCAGTTCCGGATCCACAACATAAGAGCCATTAGGCTTGGAAATAAAGGAATATTGCAATGTATTTCAGAATCCTTGGGTCTCTAGATCCAACCTTGGTGAATATCGTATCTTCTCAAGACAATGCACTACTTTTTTGGGAAAATCTGAAATAGCGGCATGGTCAAGCAGATAACATCAGGATCGGTGACCTCCGAAAAATAGTTACACCCTGAAGCAAGGTAACAAGTATGTAAATTAGTTTTACTCAGAATTGAAGAGTCATTGGGAAGATTTTATTCGATATATATTAATACCTAATTGCATATGTGGTGTTGAACTTAGAAATAGGATTGTTACATGCCTTATTGAGGTCACTATGAGGAAGTATCAAGAGAATGAATTTGTAACTCGCTTCAATACTAAGTTGGATGATGTATACGGGGGAGTGATGACACGTAAAACATTCATGTTTGTATCCTCGTTCATAGCATGTTTTATATGTTTTCTACATATTTTTTGCCAAATTATCTTGGATTTTCTTGATAATTGTTCAAATGTGTGTTTAACAGCCTCTAGGGATGCTCCTATACTATTGATGCTCTTTGGGTAGCATGGCATTTGGTTGGTTTGGTCAAAACCAACCGAAATCGAACAAGACCGAACAGTAGAAGACTCAAATAGACACTCGAACCTGGTTCGGTTTGGATTTTTGAACAAAAAACCTAATTCTGGCATGACTGCCGCCAAGAGGAGGAGATGATGGAATGTGGTTGGTTGCTAGCGCCTCCATGAGAGAGCTAACACCATTAGATCATTTATCGGGATTTTCGATGCCATTTCAAACAAAAAACACTCCAAATCCAAGCAAACTCAAGACTCCCAGACAAGAGTTTAGTCTAAGTTGAAGAGATAACGACGAGTTACCATCGCCAGAGGTTTTCCAGGTTCTTTATACAACTTTGTGCTTCCCTCTCTTTTTTTCGGTAGGGCTTTGTGATGCATAAATAAACAGAGTCGAGAGGAACAAAAATCGATGGTTGCTTGTCGGTGATTGATTGGCAATGACGATAGAGGATTGCCTAGGGATTTCTGCCGAGATAAGTAAAGGGAGGAAGAGTTGCAAACGGTCGTCTCCTATACTCTTCTGCTTGTGCGTGTCTCATAGGGTTGGAGGGTAAGGGGATTAAGGAAGATTGTGAAGGGAAGGGACAAGCTGATTTTGTGGCAAGGGCTGGTTGGGATTTGAAATTTGGTTCATGAATGCCAAATTCCGTTCGTATAGTCTGCAAGTTTGGTTCGTACTTAGTCGATAGTGGTTCATATAAGTAAAATTGGACCTAATAACTACCCTTAACCCCAGTGGACAACATGATTGACATATGATGTAGTATTCAAGCAAGTAATAAAAATCCTATATGTGTCTAAGTGAGGTATTCTAATGCATACCTACTCATAACAACCATCAACACATACACGAAATCATGAAGACATTTAGGGGTTTTCATTGAGCAAACAAACAAAGCAGGAACAGTAAAGTTGTTTATGCATTTTCTCTTTATAGGTGCATGAAAGTAGAGATACGTTATTGTAATAGATTATAAACTCCAATATGATCATGAAAAAATAGGTTTCATTCATATCATGCATTATTGATTCATCTAATTTAATGTCCTACCCCTTCCTTTAAGGCTACTTTTTACCCATGCATGTGCCTCTTGTGATAGGGATCTAACTATCTAATCAATAAGGAATAAGTAAGATAGGATAGCATATATTTAATTGTGGGCTTCAACGAACCATAATTATAGTCTATATCATCGATGATCTAACAATCAAGCATTGATACTACTTGAAGCATAGACTGGTGATCAATCCTCCCATACTCGTGTAGTATCAATGGGGTATCCCTAAAAGGTAATTTCTTGACAATCTAGGAAATACTAAGCACAATGCATATATTATCATACAATAGAATCATATGCATTGATGGTATCAAAAGCATTCTTGCTATAAACATCAATGACCATCATCGATAGCAATAAAGCATCAATGATCATGATAGGCATCAAAATCTTCACAGACAAACACAAGCATGAGATGAAATCGTGGCATTCATTCACATAATAGTAAACAAGATCACACCCTAACCCAATCAATTTCAACTAGCTACATAGAGGAGATGGAAGGCACCACCATTAACGATGACAACATCTCCTTGGCCGCAGACCCCTCTACTTCGACTAGACTATGCACTCGTGTAGAGTATTACAGAGATTTGTGTGTTTGTGCAACCTTACATTACAATGGAGTAATGTCGTCTATTTATAGGGTAGAATACGACCTAAAATAACCTAAACCGACTAGTGAAGATTCTCATAAACCTAGTAGACTTAGGAAATTTTGTCATCAAGAAAAATGTGAGGCGGCAACAGTACGTCAGTTGGGCCTGCCGTCCTGGTTCTTCGTGATTTAGGCTTCTTGATGCATGGACTTTAATTCTAAATAGTTTTGGTTGCAACTTTGGGAAGCGTCTGTTGGACCTGTTACTTGGGCCGCCACTCTTTTTCGCTTCACAATGGGTCGATTCTTCCTCCTATGGGCTTGTCTTGACATATTTTAACAACTTCTAGTTGACTTCTCCGTCATTGGACCACTCATCGTTAATGATAGCTTCATAAACTTCTTTTGATAGCTCATTTGGTCCTCCACAATTCTATAATGTTTGATCCAATCTTCCTTAGTTTTTTTATGTAACACCCTACCCTATACGTTTTGCCTAATCATATTGTTCATACAATTGCAGCGGAATTAATCTCTGGTGTTACATTAATTATCAAAATTTACCCAAATAAAATTTCGACATGAATTACTCGCGTAATGGGCTAACAGTTCTTGCAACTTATCCTGCAAAATAATTCATCACAAATATATATACTCACAACCATATGCATTGGCTTTTCTTAGCCATAGTCACACTTTTCATACTCTACAACTGCATACCATACTTATACATACCATAATCGTCACAACTTACACAGTTACATAACATATACACATATCATCAACTTTCCACACCTGTGGATATCTCACACTACATCAGAAGCTAGTATGCACATGAAAAACGTTCTCGAAACATTTTTTTACAAAAAGGTGTGGATCACTAGCCAAAATCCCGAGTAGTAGTCCAAGCACAGAATAGTTAAAGACCATACTTCATCCTGGCTTAATCATAATTCGTTACTTGCACATGTACTTGACCTGGCCACAATTGACTCAACATAGGTAAATCAGGAGTCGTATAATTGCACTTCCTCGGGATAAACCCTCGTGCAAGTCATCCTCCTTAAACATCATAATATCACCCTGGGAAGTTTATTTCCCCCACTGGTGAATCCAAATACAACCACAATATCACATCATGTCAAAACACCTGATCGAACAACCATGAAGTCATATCAACGGTTAAGCCACAAATGGCAACATGTATGAAATCATCAACATAAACAAGGTCCATATGGGATAGGGCAAGTCAACAATATCATACAACAATCCATGGTTCATCATATAGCATAAAAGTTCACACACCCTTAATCATGCCATTCTAGTTCACCTAGGTCAATTCTAAGCATCAATACAATTATCGTGATACGACAAACCAGGTATGCCGTGCTAATCCCTCACCAGTTCTGGTCGTTCAAACACCGGTTTAACCTTCCCGTACTAAAACGTCAATTTCACGAACGAACCCCGAATTAAAATCCGAGACCGTCCTAATATCCCCTGCAGTATCCGCGTCAATATTAGTTCTAGACTCCGGATCAAATTCTTGATAAAAATATATCAAACCCTGGCCGGAGCTAAATTCATCGATTTGGATCCTGACCTAAATAATTGCCGAAATCCAAGGATTAGAACTAGAGGATTGATTACCTCGCTGCAGGAAGCTCGTATATGAAATTTGGGCTCAATTCGGCTTCCAGATACTCCGAAACCCTAATTTGACTTATCGGGAATTCAAGAAATTCCTGAACCAAAAACTCGTTTTAAAGCTCTAAATCGATAAATAACGACATATGGATGGATTAGGCATTACTTACAGGATTTTTGGATCAGTTGAAATCAAGATTTGAGCTCTGAAAATTCTTCCCGAGCTCCCTTGTTCTCAACGCACGCTGCTCTGCTCTCAGTTGCCTCTCGGTGGAGAAATGGAAAAAGGCGATGAGATGAGAATTAAATGGAAGGGTGGGGGAATTAATTGGACCTTATATATATATATATATATATATATATATATATATATATATATATATATATATATAATACGTATACTTATCCGATCGATTGATTGATAATCCGATTTTCGTCGAAATACTATCAAAACGCTCGATTTTAAATCGTGAACTTTCTAGCGATCGAAATATGGGTTTTGCCGGAACGGGATGTTACATTTTATACCGTCGAAACCATCAATAGTATACCAAGAAGGCATCAAATAGTACAAGAACATTGCCTAGGTCTATTAAAAGCTCATTGATCAAATAGTAGTGGTTTAGACAAGAAATTTCAATGAAATATCTATAGATGCTTCAATAGAAGGGGAAAATGTATCAAATATGCGGGTGACAAACACTATAAATAAAGCATTGTAGAACTAAAAGTGCCATTTTACAGAAGGTGAAGATCAATTCGATCTGTTAGGATATTATTTCTTGGCGGCAAACTTGGAGATATGATGATATGTGAGCATAAGATTTTCCTTCATTGGAATCTCTCTGAAAACCTAATGGATAGGTCTACAAATAGACCCCCTCAACCAACATCTGAAGACAACTATTAGCAACTCATCACAAACTAGAAGCGATCAGTAGCATGAGGGTCAGAATAGCGTCATAGGAACCATTTCCCTTGTAAGACTGACATTTCACATAATTAAGGTATCTCGTCTTCTAGACAAATCTATATATTAGATTTTGTCCCTCTAAGAGGGTGTGTATGCAAGCGAAGCCTATAAGTTCCTTAGACCATTTCTTGTGTTATATATATTGATGGTTTGAGTTTACCTTTCTAGATTTGTTGCACTTAGAATATCATCATATCTATGTTTATATTGGGTGGATTGTAACAAGAAATCGCTTATGATTGTTGCACATCAACCGCACTGCACATCTTCCAACAACTGTGACAAGAATATATGATTAGTTGGCTAGACCGCGTGGCTTCCTAATCCATCTCCAAGGATACATCCAAGGCATATGGTAGGGCAGAGAAGCATAGTGAGTGGAGGAATCCTTGTGAATTCCCGCAATTTCGTATTTGTAAGTCGCCTATCGTTCTAAACCGTGTTTAAGGAAACTCTAGGAGGAGCTTGCTTATGCAATGCCTTCCTTTACTACTTTCCCACGTCTAGTTTGATTTTTATTTTGTTTTCGGCACCTTAAAATTTGAAAAGCAAATCGAGGGGAACCTCAACCCCAAATCCAGTTTCAATCAAAGAACGAAATCCCTACTAACTAAGCAGTTGAATTTAAAAGGCCCTAAGGAAATACGATCATGGAACCTAGGGGTGGGCATTGGTGCGGTCCAAACCGCTCCGCCCGCTCCAAATCGCTTATGCGGTCAATCCAAACCGCACCATTAAGATTGCGGTTTTATTTGCGGTCTAATCCTAAGCGGTTTGCGGTTTTGTGGTACGGGTCGACCGAAACTGCACGGTTGCGGTTCAAAACCGCAAACCACTAAATCTAAATCCCTACCCAGCTCAGCGAGGGATTCACCACAAAACTGCACTGTTGCGGCGGCGCCATCGACTACCTACCCGACGATTCCTCCCTCTCGAATACCTACCCCAAGATTCCTCCATCCCGCCGATCTATCCGTGCCTCTCGACATCCCCCCGATCTATCCGTGCCTCTCGACGTCGATCTATCTTGCGAGGGTACTCCCGACATCCCGCCGAACCTGTTTTACTCTCTTTACCGAACGCCGACGATTCCTCTGGTACTCTCTTTCTCCCTCCTCTTTTCCTTAATCGGTCTCACACTCTCACTGACGGACCCGCCGAACCCTTTGCCCCTTCGTGGGTTTCCTACTAGGCTTCGTGGGTTTCCATCTATGGAGGCCATTTTCATTCAAACAGAGAGATGGTCTCCCATTCAAAACCGACATGAAATAAATCTTGAATGGGTCAGGTTCAGGATTCATGGCGGGATCTGCTCTGCTCTGCTTCATGGACTTAAATGGTTGATACTGTACACTCTGCATTCATGGCTGCTTGATGACATGATTAATCCACGTATATTATCTCCAGGGTACTTAGTTCTAATTAGAGTCGTAAAACATCAAAAACCAGTTAAACCCATATGATAATCTGCAGAGCTATTTCCTTCATTAGTATTCTGATGCTGATGCCCTTTCGGATTTATGATGCTAGCTAGCTGCTGCTGCAAGTCCACATATGTGGGACTTATGTTCCCTGCTGATGCCATCGCAAGGGCTAAACATTACCTTTCCTTGACCTCTGGTGGTTTAAGTGCACTGTCACAGCGAGGGTAAAGATCCATGTTTCTAACTGTTTTCTTTCAAATTCGATATCAAGCAGTTGGGAAAAATAAGATATTATCTGCAAAATGAAATCAAAAAGCTCGCAGGGAAAACGAGCTCAAGCATCGGTATCTAGTGAGGTGAGTTTCTTGACTATGGTTACATTCTTAAGCGGGATTTGATGTGTGTGTGTGTGTGTGTTTACTTATGTGGTCCGTTGCCACCTGGTTTGCTTGCTTTGTTAGCTGTCCTGGTTTATGCTGGTTTTGTGAATTGACTAGTTGTAGTAGCACCTTGGATGACCTGCCAAAGAGAAAACATTGATCACATCAGAATGATACGCTTAAGAATATAACCATCAGTCAAGCAAAAGCAGAGAATTTCCCCATGCAGATTGTGCTACTAATCTTGCTGGGATTCCATAGGTTCAAAGGATTCCATCCTTCTTTAGGGCTTTGATCTCGCCTAGTGACGCCTACTCCATAATAAGTGAGAAATTGTAGTTTTTTCACAGTTCATTGGGAATAAATGCATGAACACCCCACGTCAATGACTTTGAGCAATGATATTGAGAACTGGTTTGTGGTTCTAATAGTTTTCCATTGCATGACTTCGAGCTGCAATTGGCTTCTTTATTGTGAGGAAACTTAATTACATAGGTCTGCTGGTTTGTGGTGTTTGTTTTCAATACTTGCTACTCATAGTTTTGTGACTACAAATGTTCATGATATTTGCTGTTTCATTATTAGGTTGAATATGATGATGTTGCAATGGAGTCTTTAAGTGGGGAAGATATGGAAGTCGAAGTGGATGCAAGTACAAGTAGTGTGGGTGCTGCTGATATTGGTTCAACTGCAACTCAAATTAAGTCACCGAATGGAGGCCCTTATTTGTAGGAGTACTGAATGATTTTAGGAGTTCTTTGACTCCTAAGATTGTGGAGGCCCTTATTTGTACTCAGGATTGGCTCCGCGCAGACTCTAGTCCATGTGTAGTTGAAGAAGATTCAGAGGAGATCGACAATATTGATGAAGGTAAGCTTTCTTAGAATAAAAATGCTATTAGTTTTGTTTAATGCTCAAGTTGATGGTGACATTTTATGAATTTCAGAGTTGAGCATGGTGTTGAAGGCTATTAACATCTCTGGTGTTCCACTTCCTTTTATCAATACCCCTCGTACGAGTCCTATTATACAGAAAAACGCAAACACGTCAGGTAATTGATCTAATAATCGTATTCATTCTCTTTTTTGTGGGTTGTTTTGCTAAGAAGAAAGCACAGCTACTTAGTTAAAGTTCTTTTGACTATGTTGATGAGCCAGACTATGTTGATTAGCTGCTGCTATCTGGAAGCGAGGCTTGGAGGGGAACACGAAAACAGTAGATTCCAATGCAGCTGAATATCTAACTGAATTCACAGTGACCCAAAGCAGTTGTCGTCTTCCTGAAGTTATGGTTTTTAATTATAGTTTGTAGTTTTGCTGGAGGATTCGGCCTTGTTTTAGCTACCATTTAGAGCTCAAGTTTATGGTGTTGGAACTTTGGAATGGTAATGGACCTGTTATCAGATCTACTTTAGTGGGTCTGCAAAAAAAAAATTATGCTCTGTTTTTGGAATGCTCTGTTTTCTGTTTTGAGAATAAGATGGACCCAAAGCAGTTGTCGTCTGTGTTCTGCAGCCTTATGCTTGAAGTTAGAGGATTTATACAGGCTTTAATTAGTGTAATTTGAGAACCAAGTGTCTTCATGCCAGTTACTTTTTATGAGATTGTACCAGTTCATATTTTTCCATTCCTCTGTTTGTAGTGTACTTTCCATCAATCTGTTTCTACTGCAACTCATTTACATCTTTGGCAGCCCATATTTGGGCAGAAATGGACTGAACTCTACTGCAACCCATATTTGGCAGCAAAGAGAGTAAATTTCTTCCCGATTCAAACAGAACACATGGATTTGTGAGCATTTGCAGATGCAGGTGGTTCTGTTTGTCAAATTTTTTTTTTTTTTTTCATTTTCGGTTACAATCACAGCAGTAATCGCCAGCTGCCTGTCATTTACATCTTAAATTAACCACTAAGATTAAACTGGTCAATTCTGAAAAGTTTTAATTAACGAATGAGAACTACTAATTAGCCACTAAGACTGCGACATTTACATCCTTAATTACTTCTTCATCGTCATTCCTCAACAGTGGAACAACAGTCCCCATCAGTATGAATTGCGGTCAAATATGCGGTGCGGGCTAAACCGTACCAAACCGCTAACCTATGCGGTTTGGTTTGATCGCACCGATTATATTGCGGTCCAATATGCTGTGCGGTCCAATTAATATGCGGTGCGGTGCGGTTTGTATCAAAGCGGTGCGGTGCGAACCGCACCAATGCCCACCCCTAATGGAACCTACCAAGTAAATTGACCTCTGTTCTACATTAGATCAAATTTTGGCACCGTTGTTGGGTACTCTCACGATCTTTTGGAAACTTTTATCGTTTCTTTGCTTTGTTTAAAGTCACTTTATTTTTCGTCATTTTTTGTTTATGTTCGCTTCTATTTTTGTATTTTTATGTTTGAATTGTCTGTAGTCAGAGTCAGCGTCTAAGCTAAATTTAGGAGGTGCAAAATTGGCAGTTCTGACACAATTTTGACGGGAGCTCATTGCATGAAAACAGCGAAAGAGGTGCCTCATGACATGTAAATTTTACTATTTTAACCCCCCTATTTAATGACATATTTTGTATTGTTTTTCGTGTCTTTATTTCCGTAATAGAATGGAATTGCCTGATAATTGCTCCAAGGTGTGTGTAGTAGCTCGTAGGACTACTTTTACTATCTTTATTTCCTTTGTGTGGTTTTCCATGTGTTTTCCTGTCCAAGTATCACAATGGAGCACCTTGTACGAGTGAGATACTTCGAGGCCTAAGTATTAGAAGTAAAAATAAATAAAAATTAGAGCTCAAGTCCAAAATGATGCCGAAACTAGTCAATCAAATTCCAAAATGCCCCTCGGGTGGCATTTCTCCGAGGACCCAGATCAAACCAAAATGGCAACTTGTAGTTGACTTCCCTGTCATTGGATCTCTTCTTTTTGTGAAAGATCCTTTATCTTTTCTTTATAGCTCATTTGGTCCTCCAGAGTTCTTCAATGTGTGATTCAATTATCCTTAGGTTGCTTTGTACCTTCAAAACAATCATAAATATACCAACAAGGCATCAAATAGTACAAGAACACATCCTAGGTCTATTAAAAGCTCATTGATCAAATAGTTGTGATTTAGACAAGAAATATCATTGAAATGACTAAATATGCATTTATAGAAGGGGAAAAAAGAGTGATAATGGATTTCTTCTTAGCGCCGTGATCGATCGAGGATTGGAGGGCTTGGCTAGATGTGACAGTTAAAGTGGCCATATCCGGAGCGGTGATCCTAGAGTTGAGCTTTCAGGTTGAGAGCAAAAAGTAGAGCTGATTGGGGAGTAATAGCACAGGAGCGCAATGGGCTCGTCGTAATAGAGGAAATCAAAGTTGTAGAGGAAGGAAGGGGACTACAGAACTTGAGATTCGGAGGCTGGAGGAGCGTACTCGCAAAGATCTCCTTTGAGGTAGACGACTTTAGCGTAGGAGGGAGAGAAGTAGAGGAGAATGAGAAACATGCTCCCGTTTGGCGGCGGCAGTAATTGATTCATAATGGGGTTAAATTTGGGTATAATAAACAATAAGAACTTGAGGAGGGGGGGAGGTCGCTTGTGGAGGGTAAGGATGAGATTTAATATAAATGTAAGAGACATAAATGGAGAGAAAAAATATGAGTGAGGAATTTTGAAATAGTTGATCCCCATTAGCTATTTCACAAACCTACATATGATTGTTATAATTAAAACCTACGATCTTGTTTCCAAACGACCCTCCAGAGTGAAAAACCTTTTTAAGAATTTCTTCGGTGGATCAATTCTACCCTCGCTAACCACGAATACGTCACATGATAGTTGGTTAACTCGTCTTTTAACCATAACGCTAGATGTTTAGTAATTCAGCTTATTTCATTACCAACTATTTATCGCTTCTCATGACAATTCATAACAAGTGGATTACAACATATGTCATTATTGAACTAATTCAATACTATAACCATGAAGAAGATATGGGGAAAAAATCCCAAAATACTCTAATTATTAAAAAAATTTCCCAAAATACAGTACTTATAAAATTATTTCCCAAAATACAGCAGTTTGGTTATCACCGCTGCAAACCAAAACAATGATTGCAATCACCGTTTTAGACCAAATCGGTGATAGCATCACCGTTTTGGTCAAAAACGGTGATAGCATCATCGCTTTCTTCCAAAACGGTGATGCAATCACCGTTTTGAACCAAAACGGTGATAGCATCATCGCTTTCTTCCAAAACGGTGATACTCGACCTTATCATCGCTGATGTGTAAAGCGATCATATCATCGCCATGGAGCAAAACGGTGATAATTGACACGTTTTAGCGCCCTGTTAGGTGGAAATTAGGTCACAGCTACCAAGCAATCACCGCTGAGGACAAGGGCGGTGAACACATCACTGTTTTTGTCAAAAGCGGTGATTGCTAAAAAAATTTTCTATAAATACTGACCTCCACTTCCCCTATTGCTACCTTACAGAAAATTAGTACAAAAATTAGTGTTTTATTAGTCGTTTTCTCAGCTGGTTTGGAGTTGGTTTACTGCTTAAGAAACTCGTCGGGATTCGGTATGTTATAATTATGTAATGTTTACATGTTGATGTGTTAGTAATTTATATGTCTGTATTTAGTGAATTGCGGTTATTGGAAAATATGTTATGATATATTTAGATTAATTATGATATGATAGATGTTAGTTAATTAGTTATGAATTTAGATGAATTTGTTTAGTTTTCTCATGATAGATCGGGAGTCGGTATGTTATAATTATGTATTGTTTACATGTTGATGTGTTAGTAATTATATGTCTGTATTTAGTGAATTGCGGTTATTGAAAAATATGTTATGATATATTTAGATTAATTATGATATTTTAGATGTTAGTTAATTAGTTATGAATTTAGATGAATTTGTTTAGTTTTCTCATGATAGATCGGGAGTCGGTATGTTATAATTATGTATTGTTTACATGTTGATGTGTTAGTAATTATATGTCTGTATTAAGTGAATTGCGGTTATTGGAAAATATATTATGATATATTTAGATTAATTATGATATGATAGATGTTAGTTAATTAGTTATGAATTTAGATGAATTTGTTTAGTTTTCTCATGATAGATCAATTACATGCGTTTGTTTATGGGTTTGGATGATATTGTTTTTGTATCCCTAATGTACTAATTACTATACTTAATTATTATAAATTGCAGACATGGTTAAATTTAAGAAGTTTCGGCTTATTATTCGGTGGAATGGTCGGGTGACAAACTCGAACATTGGCATCGACTATGAAAATGGCGAATCCACTATGCTAAAAATTGAGTCGAGATTCTCGTGGCAAGAAGTCCATGATATTTGTGCAGAAAGGACTTGTACGGGCGGGCAAAGGAGAGTTGGTCAAATTGCCTACCGCTATCCAAACATGAGTGCTGGCGGAGTCATGTACGAAAAAGTTGTCATAAATGATGATGACTCGGTGAACATGATGATACAGTTCCTATCTGACAACGGGTTGCGGCTTGCAGAGGTGTATGTCGAGACCGAGCCGGTCGGTGAAACTCATTCTCACCAGTATTCTTGTGATGATAGTTTTGCAGGAGGGTATGGCTGGGGTGGTAGTTCAAGTAACTACGGAGGAGGTACTTCTGCAGGAGGGTATGGCTGGGTGGTACTTCAAGCAACTACGGAGGAGGTAGTTATGAAGGAGGTGTTGGGTGGGAAGAATACCCGCAACATGGTGAGACTGCCGTCAATATCGTTCAGCCCGACGGTGATTAATGGCCTGCTTGGGGTCCAGAGTGGGCTGACATTGAGAACAACCTTCGATCTGGGCGTTCTTCGCATGACCAACAAGACGATGTTGGTTATGCTGGTAACGATGACCATCCTGAGTCGAGCTATCCATTCGCCTCTAGTGACGATGAAAGTGAGGAAGATTTGAGATCAGTCAGTGAGGAGGAAGATACGGACGACATCGACGATTCGATGACAGAGAGGTGGCATTCCGTCAGGCACCAACGACTTACTACACAGAGGTTCCTGATCAATTTTTATATGGTCAGAACGATGCCCCTGACTATCGGCCCATGCCTGTGTATAATCCGACTGCTCCTTTGGAAGTGGGTATGGCGTTCACTTCGAAAGCCGATGTGCAAGATGCTTTTAGCGAAGAAGCCATGCGCCGTAACTTCGAATGGAAGGTAAAATATTCTGACACCAAACAATTGCATGTCATTTGTAAGAATGCTGGAGAGGGTTGTGAGTGGCAACTTCGGGCTGCATATATGAAGAGAAAGGGCGTCTGGGTCATGCGAACAGTAGAGAACAACCACAGATGCTCTTCAACCATACTTTCACAGGATCACCGGCAACTGAAAGCAAAAAAGGTGGCGAGAACCATTAAGCACCTAATCGAGGCACAACCGGATATCAAGATAAAAGCTATTATGGCCGAGGTGAAGGATCGACATTCCTACACCATAAGGTATAAGAAGGCGTGGCATGGGAAGCAGAAGGCCATGGCTGAGGTCTACGGTGATTGGGATGACTCATGTGCTTTACTCCCTCGACTAATGTCCGCAATGGAGGAGTCCAACCCTGGGACGGTTTTCGTCCTGTGGTACAACAACGTGCAAACTGAAGATCAAGTCCGAGTACAGAACGAGTTGATGTTTCATCGTCTGTTCTGGACCTTCAAGCCATGCATTGACGGGTTTCCCTTCTGCATGCCAGTGATTCAGGTATATTACGGACTCAAAATATTGTACTAGTTCATTACCTTACTAAGTTAAATTTTTACTAACTAATGGTGGATTTTTAACAGGTTGATGGAACTTTCCTTACTGGGAAGTATAAAGGAACTCTTCTCATTGCAACTGGGGTTGATGGAAATTTAAGTATTTTCCCCTTAGCATTTGCATTAGTTGAAGGGGAGAACAACTTAAGTTGGGCATGGTTCTTTGACCAGCTACACGCCCACGTCACACAAAGAATGGGTATTACAATTATATCGGATCGACACGCCGGGATTAAACACGCCGTCAATGGTTTTCCCGACGAATGGGGATGGACATGGCGCTGGTGTATTCGTCACTTCCTTGCCAATTTCCAACACAAATTTGGCAAAAAGAAAGACATAAGAGATCAATTGTGGAGTGCAGGTAGTAATGTAGTTCAGTCGATTCTTCATGGTTTATTGTTGAAATGAAATTTCTTATGGCTTAATTATTTATTCTCCGGTCTTGTAGCGGTTGCACATCAACCAAAGAAGTACGAGCAGAAGATGAAAACGATCCGTCAGATACACCGGGCGGGAGCAATATGGGCAGAAGGTCAAGATCTGCACATGTGGACATTTCACATGGACAACGGGGCTAGATTCGGCATTGCAACTACCAACCATGGCGAGAGCATAAATGGAGTCTACAAGGGCATTAGGGCAATGCCTGTATCTGTCCTAGTGGAGATGACATACTGGAAGGTAAACGAGTGGTTTGTGAAGAGACGGGATCTCGCTATAGGGAGGGAGCGTGCTGGTCATTCAATAGCACGTCATATATTTGATGGCATGCAGAAGATCGAGGAGAAATCAAGTAAGCACAGAGTTGTTCTGTTCAACCGCAATGAAGGTATTTTTGCTGTTCAAACAGGTATATGGGGTGGAGGAAGACGTGGGCATAATCGTCAATCCGTAACTCTACACGTAGAAACTCGCACCGGAGAGTGTACATGCCAAAAGTATCAAAACAGAAGAGTACCTTGTTCACATGCAATGGCAGTAGCTAAGTCGATAACCCTCAGCGCTTACAGTTTGGTTAGTCGTTACTACACGGAACAGGCGATCAGGAACTCCTACTCGTCAAGTTTCAGCCCCCTTCCGGATGAAGCTTATTAGCCTGTAGACAATGGGAAGTTGATTATACCACCGTTGCACTTAAAGCGCACCAAAGGTCGTCCTAGGACCGAAAGGATTCACAATGAAATGGATCAATCACAACGTGCCCGACGAGGTCCAAAGCGTTGCTCAAAGTGCAGACAACCGGGTCATGACAAGAGGCGTTGTCCAGGTCCACCTCTAGAGCAAGATTCGAGGCCAAGTACAAACCAACCTTGAGTACTCTTTTGTTCACTTCCTTTTCATTTTCGTTGTTGTGATGTTTAAGTTGGACTTCATGTTTTAATCTTATTGAGTGATTGTAATGAATGGTGTCTGTTGTTTACTTTGGTACAACATGGGGGAAAATCAACACAATCCCAAACCAAATTAAGACGACATAGATAGTTCATGGAAAAACAACACAAGACCAAAACATAATTAAGACGACATAGATAGTTCATGGAAAAACAACACAAGAACAAACATAATTAAGACGACATAGATAGTTCACTGGTTCTCTTCATTTCCCTCTTCCTCCACTTCCCCTTCTCTCCTCTTCCTCTTCCTCCACGACCTCCTCGACCCCTTCTTCCGCCTTCTCTACCTCCTTCTTCACGAGCCCGCTGGACAACTCCTCGTGGATTCCTCTTAACCCGACCACCCACCAGAGTGTAGACAAGTGGTGGGGGTTGAACAGGCTGAGATGAACCAGAAGCGTGGTGGAAAGTCGATGATGTGTGTTGTTGAAGCGGGGTCTGATACTGAGCAGTTTGTTGCTGATGGTGGAAGTGAGGGGTGCCTTGGGCGAACATGTCATGTTCCTGAGTCGGGGCATAGCTTGACGACCCTCCGGTGCCCTCAGTACTAGTTGCCCACTCACAATGTGGCCATGGTTCATGAAGTTGGGTTTGTTGAGACGGACGAAGCTCTTCAATGTTTTCTCTCACCCTTCTTCTGCTCCTCCGTGGGGGCTCTTGTGGGGGCACGATCCTCTCATCAGCACGGAATGACGGTCGGGGCAGTGCAGGCATTGGAGGGTATAATACGACATCCCTCCTTTGCTCTCGGGTACAACAGAGCAGGTTGTTGAAAAGCCTGCGCAAAAAAGAGGTCTTCCGCTCATCCATGGTTGGTGCACTCTCGACAGTGTGCTTGGCATGTTCCAAACCGTCAACCTAATAAATTGTTGTACAAAATTAACTAACATTAAGACAAAGAGGCATCCTTAAATCTAACAAAGGCATGTAATCATACTTCCAAAAATTTAGACATGTAATCATACTTCCAAAAATTTAGACATTGTTGTACAAAATTAACTAACATAGGCATGTAATCATACTTCCAAAAATTAACTAATTAATTAACATTCTAGCTAATATAGGCATGTAATCATACTTCCAAAAATTTTGACAAAGAGGCCAAAATGGAATTCACTTACCACTGCGCCCCAAACAGCACCTTGCTTTGACACCCATCTGAGCGTGAAATTTCGATACCACCGCATGTAGCCATCGTGGTACCCCATTGGCCTTGTCTCCGGCATCCCTTGGACCACCCACTGATTTTAATTCTCCCATATGTTGATGTAGAATTCATGCTTCTTTTGCCAATCCTTTTTGGTGTGGCGTAGGTCAATGGCGTGGAGCTCCCTGAACCCTTGAGGTGGGGATGCTGGAATTGGTTGCTCCAATCGATATTGCCTCAAAGATCGATCGGGCAGGTGTCATTCCACCATGTGGAAGCAGATTAAGGGCACCTTGCACAACCATGTCTCTTCATCCTCGGGATGTCTAAGACGATGCAACTCAACCACTTCATTTGGATATGGATCCCATACCGCCTACAATCATTATAGTTCATGGAATTAGTACAAATTATATCCACTCCACCTAAAAAATTGAAAATGATGAAATTTAAGTATTTTTTACCTGGTTCCACCAAGGCTTATCGAATTCAGCACGATAAAACAGCAAAGAGTGTTCGGGCTGGTGGTCGTTTGTATTTGCTCCGATCCACCTAATTAAGCAAAAGTACGTATATAAGCAATTTTTATGGCATAGATGTTTACTTGTTAAGTGACATTGTATGGAAGCATCTAAATTGAACTAAAATTCCTTACTTGGCAATAATCAAAATTAGCTAAATACGATTTGGTTAGAAAAATTCTAAATTTGCTAACTTGGAAGATATCTAAATTCACTAAAATACTATAATTGCAGACCTAAAATGTCACTTAATTTGCTTACTTGAAAGATATCTAAGTTCACTAAAATTCACTAAATTCGCCTTACTTGGAATAGATCTAAATTCACTAAAATCCACTAAATTAGCTTACTTGGAATAGATCTAAATTCACTAAAATACTACCATTGCATATCTAAAATAAATTAAACTTAAATTAAACTTACTTGAAACCATATGGGGGATTTGCTACAAATCGTAGCTCATCATCTGGCAACCAGAATTCCCGAGGGTCTCGAGGTGCTAAAAATGGAAGATGCTCCCATGCCTAGAGTTGGAGTATGAACATCGCACCACCAGCTTGTTTCGCTCCCAACCTCGAGCAAGTACACAACTCTCGGTAGATCCCAGCCAAGACGGCCGACCCCCAACTTTTTCTCCCGATCTCGTCCCAGTCACCGAGGAGCATATTTAACCACATACCTTGTATCCACCGGTTTGACTTGTCGGGGAACAGAAACCCACCAACCAAACCAATTAGGTAGACACGTGCATACCGCTCCACCTGATCTTCAGGAGTGTCGGGGCCTATATTAACCTCCATTTGGATGTGGTCAACAAGCCACGGGACCGATACTTGCCCCGCATTCAGTGGTGGATGCCCAACCCCGTCGACGGGCGTGGTGGTCGGCATGTTGAACCCCAAGCGCTCTAGAATCAACGGCCCCCAACCATCTTCCGGTTTTTTCGAGCTGTCGATGATGGCATCTCCGGTGATCGGGAGCCCGGTGAGGATGGCAACATCTTTGAGGGTGATCGTCATTTCACCCTCGGGAAAGTGGAAGGTATGCAGCTCGGGGCGCCATCGCTCTGCCATTGCCGTCAGCAGATCGTTGTCAATATCAAGCCTCGTAAAGTGCCTCAGCATGTGCAATCCCGTCCTCTCCATATAGGCCTGCAGTCGATCATGCCAACGGGGCAATCGACATGTCCCTTGATGAGCGATGGGAATAAGTGATTCCTACAAAACAAAAAACACAATATTATCAGTCAATAGAAAGCAAAATAAAAAGTTTAAAACTATTGAAATAAATTTAGTGTGTCTACCGGATTATTGTTCCAAATTGAACGGGAGCGATGTTGATCTTGCCCGGTTAAATACCTTCGATCCCTTGGGCCAGGATCGATATACAATCGAGGGTCGTATATCTCAGCACCCATCTATAAAAAAATTTAAAATCAAATCAATTTAAATTTTAGCACCCATGTAAAAAAAAATCACAAAAGAATAAAATTAATTTACGTACTCTCAAAGCCTCTTCGTCCATTTTTTGCCGAAAAGCTAGCGAGAGTATCGACAAAACAAAAACTCTAGTAATTCTTTCTTATGCGGAAGATCGGACTTAACCGCAACCACAGAGCATACTTAGAACGAAACTAGAGGAAAGTAAAGGAGGGAGAAAGAAGTATAAGATTTTGGTGTGGTTTGGAATGGGGAGGGGGGGGGGGGAGTGGTATTTATAGGGGAAAGGGGCGCTGGAAATTTTACCAGGGACCAATCACCGCGTCTGTTGAAGGCAGTGAAGTCACCGCCTTAAAGGAACGCGGTGAAGGCGTGGATAGCTGACGTGGCGCGGCCTGAGGCGTCGGATCGTGGAGAAAAACCACAATCCGCGCCTCACTGCATCTAACGGCAGCGGTGAAGGGTGGGGTGGCGCGGATCGCTGACGTGGAAAGCGGGGCTATCACCGCTTTAGACATCAGCGGTGAAGTGCCCGCGCGCGTCCACGTCAGCGATCCGCGCCACTTCACCGCTTTTTGTTTACACAGTGAAGATGCATTCATCGCGTCACAAATCAACGGTGAATTAATCACCGTCATTAACCACAGCGATGATAGCATCACTGTTGTTGTCCACAGCGATGATGCTATCACCAAAACCGTTTTAGACCAAAACGGAGATAGCATCACTGTTGTTGTCCACAGCGATGATGCTATCACCGTTTTGGACTAAAACGGTGATAGCATCATCGCTTTGGACCAAAACAGTGATGCTATCTCCGTTTTGGTCTAAAACGGTGATTGCAATCACTGTCTTGGTTTGCAGCGGTGATAACCAAACTGCTGTATTTTGGGAAATAATTTTATAAGTACTGTATTTTGAGAATTTTTTTTAATAATTAAGAGTATTTTGGGATTTTTTCCAAGATATGGTGTGGTTGTTAGTTACCTCATGAATAGGTTACAACTTACAAGTGGATGATGGTTGAAAATAGAGTTCGCTTTTGCAATAGACCGTTTACTTTTTAGTACGATCACCCTCAACATGTGTAAGAGAGAGAGAGAGAGAGAGAGAGAGAGAGAGAGAGAGAGAGAGAGAGAGAGAGAGAGAGAGAGAGAGAGAGAGAGAGAGAGAGACATTGCTGTCAGCAATCAGCAGCGCACCTCATAGCAAGTAATATAAAGAAAACCTGCTGTGGAGGAAGGCAATGGCTCGATAGGAAAGCCTTGACTGATGGGGTATGAGAATGAAGGGTTGAGTGAATTTTCCATCAAAATTAGTGCAAACCGAAGAGGAATGAATATTTGTCAAAAATGCAAAATAAGGGATGGGACAAAATTACAACATAGCCAATACCAACTTCCCGTCGTTTCTTTCCTCTCTCTAAAGCCACAAATGCACAATACACAGAGAAATAGAGCTAATTTACAAAATGTTGGCACAAAAGCGCGGCCGTCGCATTGTTGCCATGTTTGTCTGCTGAGATATATTACCATTAACCCATTTTTGTACAATTTTGTACCCTTTGGGAGTCCCTTCCTTCCTTCCTTCCTTTCTTGTTCCTTCTTTTCGTCTCTTCTTTACTGAAAGGGAGTGGTGATGCTGGCGGAAGTGCGTTCAGTTGGCGAGCCAGGGACGAAAGGGACGAACCCCCGGCCACCGAAGACAGGCCTCATGAAGGCGTTGTCGAACTTGCGCCAGTAGTAATGGACGGTGTGGGTTGGGGTGGTGAGCAGGGCTCGCAGTCTGTTCCCGCCGTTGAGGTGCTGTTGCGCGAGATCTTCCAGTGAGTCCTGCCCCTCGCCCAGGAGGGGCACTGTGATCGATTTCGGGGAGCCAGCGTGGGAAGATACCGCTGTGCTCGACTGGCTCTTCCCGTCGGGGAGCAGGAACCTTATGAGAGGTTGAGTCATCAAACCGAAGACCTGAGGAAACATCAATGTTTAGCAACCATTTCAGAAATTTAAGTAGAAGCAGCAATCCTACATCTGAACGACACCTGAAGTTACTATGGCCTATAGTTCGAAGTTACTTACTACAACCGAATAAGGAGAACTTACCACTGTGCTGAAAAGAACAACAATGATGGTGCTAGTGATCAAGATAGCATTCCCTCGCAAGTGAGTGTGCCCCCCACTGGTAAACTGCAATGGCAATGAAGCAGATAGCTCGTAAATTGATCAGGAAATACTGAATGTTCAACAACGAAAAAAGAGCAAGTATTTCTTCCACGATCTTACCTTGTTATAAGCGAGTGCCATAGATACAGCACCTCTCATCAAGCCAGCCCACCATATGACAATCTAAATCAAATACCCAAAAGTATAAAGCAAATGTCAGATACGGTTTGCAATAAAAATAAAGTTATTCAAGAGGAGTTGGGGCAGACAGGATCGTACTTGCTGCTTGATATCGATCTTATCATTCGGTGATTTCTTAGATAAGTTCGATAAAAAGGACAAGGGGAAGACAAAAGCTGCTCTTCCCAGAAGGACCAGGGCTAATAATACTGAACTCACAGTCACTATTGTTCCGGGGCTGCACAAGAGATGAAACAGAATTGCAAGAGCTTCAGAATCTAAATTATCATTCCAATGAAAGGATGCAAAAGGTTCGATTGATCGACTTGATCAAAAGAGTAAATCGTAATTATGGACAAACCTGTCACTCACGGCGCTCCACTTCTCAATGTCCAAGGCATCCATACCGACGTAGAGGAATATAAATATCTCAGAAACAAATGACAAGGTTGCAAATGCATGCCTGGGGAGAAAGCGATCGGTTTCAGAAATAAATTCTAAGGCAAGATAGTAATAAGAGTGATCAGATTCATCGATATAGAGTCACATACTTTGTCGTTACTCTCGAGCTCTCAGTCACGTTGTGCCATGTATAATGGGACATGACAATTCCACAGAAAAATACTGTGAGAATCCCACTCAAATAGAACAACTGCAAGAGAAGTCAATGAATTAAGTACCATATCTTGGAGATCATACGTGAAAATAAAAGTGATACACAAGAAAATTTGGAAACAATCGTACCTCAGCAAGCATGTACGAAAGATATGCCATAAGGATCATGAGAGAAACCTCCCTATCCGTTGAATGCCTGAACAATTTCAAGTATTAAGTTAGTGGGAAGATTCTTACAACTGGCAATACACGCGTATCTGAATTTTGTTGACCATAACATACCTTCCAAAGTAGAGGGTTTTTATGATGTAAGCACTGACCAATCCAGTCTGCAACAAATACCAAATGGATTGGATTTCAATCTCAGAAACAGATTTGAACTTTCTATGAAACAACAAGAGAGAGAGAGAGAGAGAGAGTTACCCCAACTCCCAGCAAAGTACTTGTAACAAACAAATACAAAAAGTTGCCAATGAACTCCAAACCAATGTGTGGATTAAGATTGACAAGATCAAAGCCCTGAATTGCATTGAAAAGCACCACTGACGTAGCGTCATTTACGACACCTTCCCCAAATACAAGACTGTAGAGTAGAGGCGTCTGATCCTGATTAAGAATCTGTACAATTAAGAAGAAAAAGGTTCAGTTTTCCAGTAAAAACAATTCTTGAATCTTTACAATAGAGAAGCAAAAGGTTCAGTTTTCTAGTGAAAACAGTTCTTAGTAGAAGTCGGGAAGGCTGCAAATAGACATACCTGCAACGTGCATACAGAATCTGTTGCTGCAAATATTGCTCCAAGTGCTATGTAGTCCCCCACGTCAAATTCACCAATGTCCATTCTACCAAAGAACTGAATGGCCCCTGTAAAATAGCATCAGCAACCAAGTCAGACATTGTTCATTTTACGTTAAATATCTTTTCCAGGGTCAACATCCACGAGTTGCAAAAACAGTTCCCCTATCATCCTTCTCTTTCACACTGCCAACTTAAGAAATTGGTCCAGAACTAGACATGACAGTATGACCACGATCTACTACCAGAACCATGCCACATGTGCAAAAGACACCAAATTTGCAAAAGGAGACATTTCAACTTCTCCAAAGAAAATTGAACCCTGAATCAATCTAGGTACTTCAAATAAGAAAAGCATTGCAGATATTAGTTATTTACCTAAGGATATAACGCAGCAAGATATCAATGTACCGATAGCACCAAATAACATGATGGTGATGAAGTTCCGGAAGAATTGCTTCTTTTTCACCTGAAACCTGGAACACAAAATGGAAAGACCAGACGTTAAACACACACAAAAGAGCCTCTCTAGCAGTAACCCTCATGAACCAGAGATGAACTGTGAACTCTGCAAATCGAAGTTCCCTACCCGGCATTGAATATGATAGGCGGCAGAAGATAGATAAAGAAAAGATCCTCACTGAACACCAAAAGATGCGAGCTTTTCCCTCCACTAACCAGCAATATCACAACCCCAGTGCACACACCCTATAGTAGCAATGGGCCACATAAGATCAGTAAACGGCTATTGTTGCAGCGAAGCCACACACAACAACAAAAAAGCACTTTGAATTACTACCAAAACTGGATCCCATCAGTTTTTTTCCGCCTGAATCCCCAGATCCCTTTTAAGCAAATGGGAACGAAAGCCAAAAAAGGAAAGAAAAGAAACTCACAATCAAAAGGGCAGTAATGGACTCATTCATCCATCGATTCTCCTCTAGAAGATGACCAATGACTATACAAGCACAAAGCAGGGCGACGAACAAGTTCATGGAGACCACGGAGGCGTGGTCCGATGTGGAAAGCCCCTGCAGCTTCGTCGTAATTGAGCTTACGAGCTCCATTTTTGTACTCCTGATTCCTTTCCCGGTTCAATTCTCCTCCTCCCCTCTTTCTTAATCGAAAATGGCAACGGTGTACAGAAACCAAATTGTGATGGCCGCAGAATTGATTTCACACAACACAATGTGCAGTGGGAATAAATTCTGATTCCTTATTGAGACAGGAGAGAAAATTTTCAAACGGAATTCCCTAATTTTTCTTCAAGTCTCTGAACCGTCCATTCCCTCACCTGCTGTAACAAAACAATAAAACTGTGAGAAAATCAAAATTCTTATGTTTGGTTGCTCGGAAAATTAGTCTTCCTCCTCCTCCCCCCAAACCTCCTCTCAGCTCACCTTTTGTATCTCAATTCACAGAGGACGCCGCGAACTGCTACAGGCAAGTCGAAGAAGAGAGGATTCTGCAGACGAGCTGGTGAAGAAAGCCGGCGAACGGAGCTACGAGCTAGCAGGGAAGGAGATTCCGGCGAGCAAATTCGAGGGGGGAAACTTGCTTTTCTCGGGAGGGAGGGAAAAGAAAGGCTCTGGAAATGGAGAAGAAAGCTCTGGAAGAGAAAGAGAAAGGGGAAAATAGTTTTTGAAAGAATGAGCGGACGATGCGGGGGATAACGGAATTAAATAAACGGAAGGAGGAGATGCGACGGATCCAGAGATTGACGGAGGAGGGAAGCTGACGGCGTGATAAGGGGTTTCTGGCTTTGTTTTCAACCGGACGATTGGGTGATATGAGATTTGACCGTGAGGGTTTACGGTGGTACTGTCCGCAGGGGATTAAATTGGAGGAGTTGGGATATTTTGCCGGGAAAAATAGTTAAGAGCTGTGCGGAGACAGTTACTCACCGGCACGTCTCTCTGTATTTCCCTCTCTCCCCGATTATTCCCCTACAAAAACCTCTTTAATTAATTAATTAACAGATTACTTGTCTAATTGTAATTTGTCTCTTTCTCTCTGCCGACTAATTCGATTTTATTTGACGTACGCAAGTAATTTACCTCTTCAATCATTTTTATTCATTAATTTTTCTGCAAAATATTAATGGATAATGATAGCTTAGTCCATATCTACCAAGCTTTTTTCTTGGCATTATTTGATGATTGTTATTATAGGTGGGATTGATTAATTAGTTCCAAACTTTGTTTTGTATTAGTCCGTCCTCCCTGCTAATCTGCTATCATAAGACTTGGGGTTTCATTTCCCGTCAAGGAATAAAATGATGATGTTTTAGATGAAATTTTACGAAGTTTAGAATAGTCGAATCTGAATTTCAAACCTTACTCTATACTCTAAAAAAAAAAAAAAAGAGTAGACTATTCAATATTATTAGGCAGGAAATGAAAAGGACATAAGATATGTTGTAATAATAATGGGTCTGATGGGAAAACACGAAGAACCATCTACAGACCAACTAGATTAGGGTCCGATTTGTTGGCCAGGCATAATTTAATACTTTGTGTATAATTTAGAGTTAAAAAATCGTTTGACGTGCTCGATTAATTGTACCCATAAGCTTAACAGTGTCCAAACATTGTGCTCAAGTCTTAGGCCGCGATTTAATCGTTGAGAATGTTGGACCATATTGTAAACTAGAATTAGTTTAAGGACCATGTGTAATATTTGTTTATATTTGTGTACTGTTTTGCTAGTTTATTATTTCCAGGTTGTATATATTGTAATAACGAATGATTTAAATTCATCTTTTATGTAATAAAACAAGTAGACACTTTCTCTCTCATCATGGTATCAGAGTCTGGTTTAGCCAAGTGATCGTGTGTTCGAATCTCCACGACCTCCAATATTAACAGTTGATTAAAGCACAAGGTATGGTGGCCTGTGCAAACTTCAAGCCCATGGTTGGCTTTCGTTTGAGGGGGCGTGTTAGAGATATTCTGTTTCTAGGCGTTTCTTGCCTATCTCGCTTTTTCTTTTCTTCCTTTGATTCGCTTCTGCAACTCTCTTCGTTTCCATGGCGATTCCCACTGCGTTTCAACCGCCGATGCCGATCTCAGCGGTGTTTGCACCAAACCACCCGTACTACATCAATTCCGGCGATTCATCAACGGCGCAACTCTTTTCCGTCGTTCTCACCGGGCCGAATTACCATTCTTGGGCTAGATCCATGCGATTTGGTCTCCTGTCGAAGAACAAGATATTGTTCGTCGATTCGGCTGTCCCGACGCCTCCAAATGGTGATTCGCTCTTCCAAGCTTGGCAGCAGTGTGATACGCTCGTGCTTGGTTGGATCCTCCGGTCGCTCTCACCGGAGATTGCATAGAGTGTTCTTTGGCTAAACACTGCGGTTGAAGTTTGGCATGATCTCCAGGAGCGCTTCAGCATTGCTGATCTGGTTCGCATCGCTGATCTCCATGATGAGATCTGCGGACTAAAGCAAGCAAATCTGTTTGTAAGTGCGTTCTTCACCAAATTTAGGGTTCTATGGGATGAATTGACAACCTATCGTCATGTTCGTTCTTGTACCTGTATCAATAGATGTTCTTGTTATGAATATATGAGAGTAGTCCAGGTTATTAGGTTCTTGAGAGGTCTGAATGAGGATATTGAGTCTATTAGGTGTTCGATACTGTTAATGGATCATCTGCCTCCCATTAACAAGGTCTTCTCTATGATAGCCCAGCATGAGCGTCAAATTAGGACTCCCAACCCTAATTCTTTCAATCATATGGCCTGTGCTATACAATCTGGTCAAAATAAGGGGAATAACCAGTCAAAAAGGCATGTCTGTACTTTTTGTGGATTAACTGGGCATACTATTGATCGTTGTTACAAGAAGCATGGTTATCCACCAAGTTATAAGCCACGTTCTAGAGTCAATGTTGTAGTTAGTGAGTCTTTCGACACTAACAGTTATGGTTCGAGTGAGAACAGAAGTGTTCCTTCCGATTCTGTTGTATTGACAAAGCAACAGTACCGAGCTTTGTTTGCTCAATATCACCCCCAAGCTCTTCCACCTCCAACCCCTATTGTTAACTCTGTCACTACTGGAGTTTCTGGAGTTTGTGTCGAGGAGTCTTATCCAATGCACTCCCCATTCCTGGCTTCTTCATCTACTGCTACCTCAAGCCAGGATGGAGGTAAGTTTGATTTTGCCAATTCTTTGGTTGACAATGCTTCTAAGTGGATTTTAGACAGTGTTGCTTCTGATCATGTTGTCTTTGATATTGCTTATCTACTTTCACCTACTGTTGTATGTGATATGTTTGTGTCTTTACCAAATGGCTCTCGAGTGTCTGTTACTCATATAGGGTCAGTTAGGTTAAATGAACAATTAATTCTTAAGAAAGTTTTGTTAATACCTTGATATGATCCCAAATTGGCCCTCAATTAAGCTGGAATTGATTGATCAAGAAGGTAAGCAAAGTACATTAAAGAACACTGAATTTTGGCCAAGTTCTTTTATAGTTTCAGGTAGCCAACTTTGCACGTCGGGAACTTGTTATTGGCTTAATGAAAATTCAAGTTTAAGGCCTTGTTTTGAAGATGAAAAGTTTATCTTTCCATTGATGTGCTTTGGAGCTCGAGAGGAAGCCCAGAAGAGTGATTTCCAGGTCTATCAAGTTGCTAGCTCAACATGGGAAAACTGCCGAAATATTCTAAGTGTTGGAACGAGTTTGGGAAGGAACTTTGGAAGCCTCAATCGAAGGGATGGATGAGAGTCGAGCTTCAAGAATCATACTCATGAACTTAGGTTTCTTCTACTACAACGACATGGCGTTGGATGACTGGAATGAAGAATGGAAGGCCTTGAACGAAAGCTCCAAAGATCGTATTGAAGCCGAGCTTCTGTCTTTGGAAACAGGCAATCCGAATCCTTATCGGATTAGGATTCCTTTGTTGTTTTGTGTTTAATTCCTTTTCATTGTTGGTTTTGATTTCCTTTTCCAATTGTAATTTGTTTAGGACTTCTCTAAGAGTAGTAGGATTGGCTAGGTCTATTTAAGTAGTTTTGATTCGTTGTAATTTTCAGATTTCGTAGAGTTTAATAACAAACCGTGAGTTTGCGTTCATAAGGTTTTGTCTTGTGAATTGAGAGATCAACCTAGTCGAATCTAGGTATGATCTTGAGCTTGTATCGTTCAAGTACTCACCTTGTTCGTGGCCAAGCATCGACGACACCAATCGAGCCTCTTTCCCATCGTAAAAGTTGCACGAAAGGTTCCATCCCAACCACGAGCACAAGACCCTGTTTTGTGTTCTTTCTCGCCCAATTTTGATTCAATCTTGAATTGAATCCCAGTTGTGCTTCTCTGATCCAAAACCACCCATCTAGGGGGCTATCAAGTGGCACCACGAGCCTGGTTCAACACAGTGGCTATAACGGAGGACAACGTCGCTGCAACGACGCCCTGGACGAGGTCGAAAGGGCCTGTTTTTGAAGACCCTGCATATGTGTTTCCAGAATGAATGAGGAAGAAAAAGCAGACACCCATGTCAGGACAGACATTTGACATGGACACCCTACTGGATAGGGATGGCAGGAAAATCCATGGATCCGGTTGCCCGCCCAAACCCGAACCGGTCAAAACGGGTAAAATCCGTGTTGACTGGATCCGGGTAGGGGATGGATAATACCCGAAACATTAATTATCGGGGATGGGTAGGGGACGGATTTCATACTATCCGCCCTGAACCCGTGCCCGAATCCTTCTCAAGACCTGTCTTCCTCTAGACCTTTACTCCCCCAAGCATGCGCCGCTTACCCTAATAAACACTCTGTGAATCGTGATGCTTGGAAAAATCAATGGCCTCTCATCTTCTCTTTTCCATTAATTACCTAGAGCATGCGATTTCCATCTTCCAGTACCCATCCATATACTCTGCTACTCCTTTACCCTTCAATAGAGAGACATTAATTATAATTTTCTTTTCCAAGCTTTTACGGCTAAGTTCCGATGAGGCAGTTAGAGAATCGAGAAAACTCTTCAATGGATGAGAATTGAGAAACAGCTAGCAATTGCTCTGCTGCCGCTGGCTATATATATATAGCTGATGGATCCTAATTCTAATTCAGCGATTCTCATTATCTAAAAAAAGGAATCCCTGCAAAAGAGAGAATTGCAAACCCAGCCTCAACCTAAACAACTTTCATCCTCTAAGGTCAGACTTCTTCTAATCTTCTTTCTCATTATGTTGTATTGAGTCTCAAATTTTTGGATTTTATTTGTATTAATCTATCCATTTATTGGGCATTGACGAGAAAAGATTGATGATTGTTCTTCATGCGTTATCTGGGTTTTGATTAAGTATAATTCAATTTCGTCTACTTATTGCAGGTTAATATGGACCAAAACAATGTTGCCGCTTCTCAACAGTTGCCTGTAGCTCCTGAACCAGGAAGTGAAGAAGCTGTGATTGTTGGTACTGGTTCAACACAACGGACTACTAACCATCAACAAGGTATTCAAGCACAACCATCTGTGAATCTCAATGAAATTGAAACAACTCCTGATGAAGAGGTAATTCAGTTGGGACGTCTTAAAAGTGTAGTGTGGCAACACTTTACGAAAGTAAGAGTTAAGGGTGTAATCAAAGCTAAGTGTAACTATTGCAAGAAGCTGCTTGGTTGTGAATCTGGAAATGGCACATCTCACTTGAAAAGTCATGTTAAGACTTGTATGCAGAGGAGGATTCAAGAAGGAAAACAAAAAGTACTTGGCCCTAATTTTGTTGCGAAGGGGAAAAGGGAAATGGTAGCAAGTCAATTTGATGACGAGGTTTCTAGGAATGAGCTTGTTGTTGCCCTTGTTATGCATGAGTATCCTTTATCAATGGTGGATCATCTGTATTTCAAACGCTTTGTGTGCTCTCTTCAACCTTTGTTTAGTGTTCCATCAAGGAATACTATTAAGAAGGATATTTTTAAGATCTATACTTCTGAGAAGAGCAGGATTCAGAAGTTTATTGACAATAATAAGGGAAGAATTGCCATCACCACTGATATGTGGACAGCAAGCAACCAGAAAAAAGGTTATATGGTTGTTACAACTCATTACATTGATAATTCATGGGCTCTTCGAAGTCACATTCTAAGGTATGATGTGTAATCTTTAATTTCTGTCTTCTTTTGTTTGTATTTGGGTAACGGGATCATTCAACTAACCCAAGTTTCTTCTGGTTTGCAGCTTCTTGTATGTTCCAACCCCACACACAAGTGATAGATTGGCCTATTATCTGACCGAGTGCATGATGAGATGGAACGTGGACACTAAGGTATCTACTATAACTTTGGATAATTGTAGCACCAATGATGCTATGATTGAGAAGGTTAAGGGGAAGTTGGTATCGTCTTACTTGTTGAGGGATGGTGATTTGCTTCATATGAGGTGCTCTGCCCATATATTAAACTTAATTGTGAAAGATGGCTTGGATGTGGTGAAAGATGGAATTGAAAAGATTCGTGAAAGTGTTGCTTATTGGTCTGCCACTCCCAAGAGAATTGAGTTTTATAAAGAGACAGCAAAGCAAATGAATGGAAAGTGTCCTCCATATAAAAAACTGATTTTAGATTGCGCTACTCGTTGGAATTCAACTTATTTCATGCTTGCTGCTGCTATACCATACAAGGAGTTGTTTGCTAGGTTGAAACAACGTGATTCTCAATATTGTTCTTTGACTACATCTTCTCATTGGGAGTTTGCTTCCATGGTTTGTGAAAAGTTGCAAGTTTTTAGCCACATATCAGATTTATTCTCTGAATCCAAATTTCCAACTGCCAATGTGTTCTTCACTAAAATTTGTGATGTGAAGCTTAAACTTTCCGAGTGGCTTTGTGATCCTGATCCTGTGATTTCTAAGATGGCCGAAAAAATGTGGAATAAGTTCATCAAGTATTGGGGTGCCATTCATGAAATTTTGGCAGTTGCTATTGTGTTGGATCCTAGATACAAAATTCAGATCGTGGAGTACTATGCTGAGAAGTTTGGGGATGATGAGTGTGTGTTGGATGTGAAGAAAATAAAGGATATTTTGGGTGGTCTGCTATTGGAATATCAGTCCAAACAAAATGGAAAGTCTTCTTTCTCTGCTGCTGGTACTGGTGGCCAGCCATCAAGTGATGCTTCTAGTACAGATTTGGACTTTGATATGTATGTTAAACAGAGGAAAAGATCAAGGGCAACACCAAGCCAAACCGAATTGGAGAATTATTTGAATGAGGAAATCCTTCCCCGGTCTGCAGATTTTGATATCTTACTATGGTGGAAATTTAATGGGATTAAGTATCCTATCTTGCAAGAGATTGCAAGAGATGTACTTGCTGTACCTGTTACATCTGTTGCTTCTGAATCAGCCTTCAGTGCTGGAGGTCGATTATTGGACCCTCATCGTAGTAGACTTGACTATATAACTGTTGAGGTATTAATGTGCACAAGGAGTTGGCTCCAAAATTCATTTATGATAAGTAAAACTATTCTTATCATGCTTTCCTGTAACTCTTTTTATATTACAAGCTGCTGATTTTATTTATTTGCTTACACATCATATGCTAATGCTACTCATTTGGAGGATCAATCTTCAATTCTTAATCCGAACATAGAACCTGAGAATGAAGATGAAGGTTATTGTTTGGTTTTATTTCTTTTTTTGGATGAATCTTCAATTATCTCTTATTTTGTTATCTTGTTGACTGCTCTAACCTCTGTTTTCGTTTACCTTTGTAGAACAACAATTGATCAAGAATTTATGAACATGTCACTTGGATGAGTATTGATTAACATTAGAAGGGGTGCTAGTGTCCTCTCTCCTCAGTGTCTTGTTACTGTAAGTAATGTTCTTTATTTAGTTTCATTTTAAGGTTGCTGCTCTTTTTAGTGTGGTGTTGCTGGAAATTATTAAGTAATGTTCTTTATTGTTTATGCATGCTTCTAGATAGTGGTGGACTATGGAGTTAAGGACTGGTGATTTACTGGTGGTTTATGTTGCTGATGTTGCTGGCGGTGCTTGGTTGCTTGAATGGAGCTAAGGATTGGTTTTTTTGCTGGTTTTCCCACAAGGAGTTGCTGATGTCATGATTCATGAAGATGTTGCAGCAATTTGGAGTTTTTATTTAGAGTTGTTTTATGTTTTTCTTTATCAACTGTTGTGTTGGAACAGTATGCAATACCAACATTGGCTTTACCTTGTGGGAGAGAAACACTATTTGGTTTTGGAGAGTTTTGGATGAATCGTGGATTGTTATTTCATGATTCATTAATTTGCTATTTTCATTTATTCCCCGAATTAATTAATTGTCAACTTTTGTTTCATGGTTATGCTTTATTAATATGTTTTTATCAATTAAGTCAGGTATTTTCGGAGATCGGGTATTACCCGGTATCCATTCGGGGATGGACATGGTATGAAATTCACTATCCGTTCTTGTGGTTCGGGCGGGTACGGGGATTACCCAAACTTTGTTCGTGCGGGGATCGGATATCTACTATCCGGCCCCGATCCGACCCGTTGCCATCTATACTACTGGATCGTATGGAGGAGAGGTTCCAGACCCAAATCCAGGATCAATTGGGTCAATTTAAGCACGAAATTTACCAGAAGTTTGAGGCTCTGACTCTACCGGAGAATGGAGTCCGATCAGGGGAAGTTCTCGGCCAAGGAAACCCAGTTGGCAATCCAAAGTTGCTGAACCGAATTGTTGAGCTGGAACGATGTCTGGTTGTTGCGGAACCACATCACAAACGTTTGCATCGCGATCGGCGTGAACGACAACAAGACGCAGAGCCGACAGTGCCGCCGTGAATTAAGTTGGTTGTACCGTCATTTCAGGGGACGATGAACCCTTCATCGTACCTCGACTGGGAAAGGAAAATTACTCTTTTCTTTCAGTGTGGCCAATTTAGCGAGGTCCAGAAATAGCAATGGCTACTTATGAATTTTCGGATTACGCTGCGCAATGGTGGGAGCAGCTGTAGCTTCGTCGACGATGAGATAATCAGAATCCGGTCACGACGTGGGACGAGCTGTGAAGGATTATGCGAGACCGATTCATACCTGCTTACTACCAGCGTAA